CTCGGGGACGCTACAGGATCCACCCTCTCCTTTTCCCTCAGGGTCTCGGGGACACTACAGGATCCACCCTCTCCTTTTCCCTCAGGGTCTCGGGGATGCTTCCTGATGGACCTGCGGTCAAAGGTGTTTTGCTTTGCAAATATCTCCACGAATGACATGTTAACAGAAATGGTCCAACTACTTGGAGCATTCTACAGCCAGTCCCATCCTTTGCAACACCGAACCTCAGGTAGAACCTCAGTACATTAGTGACATTTTGCGTCTGCGTACCAAGGGTCTACGCACAGCTTGAAGCAGCCACCCACAAAGGTGGCCATCAGGATGAGGGTGGCATTGGGTACGTCCTTCCTCCCCACCCCTCGTATCCAGAAGAATCCCTGCGGACATGGTCCACCCTAGACCTCCCGATGAAGTAGAGGATGGCTCGGGTGACTGCAACAGCGCAGGTTCTGGAATGGGCTAGACTTGCACCATGTCCAACAATACAGACAGTATCTCACACCAGGTTTTTGCCTACATTGGAGAGGGAATGGCACTCCCAAAAGACCAGTTTCTGCTTCAGCTTGGCTCCTCCCTAGTATTTGTGCACACCCTGGTCCCTCAGAACCATATTCCCAGGTAATCTGTCCTGACAGTGAAGGGGATGTAGGATCAGTCGGCCCAGTTCCCAAAGGACATGGCCTCACTCTTGCCTCAATTTCCCTTGGCTCCTGAGGCCAATTCGAACTGGTCGCAGATTCTCATGAGTCTGTGCATTGACAGCAGATCGGGGCATATGGGCACTTTGCAAGAATGCCAATTTAAACAAAGCCCGGCAGTTCATTATCAATCATCATTAACTGGTGCATTCTCCATGGCAATGCCTCAATCAATTGGAATCCACTTTTCAACCAATCAGCTCCCTCCTAAATGTATCGGTTTCCCGCGAAAATTGGCATTTTTGATAACATTTGTTTTCTGAAAGCATGCGTGGCTATTTCACACATGCAAAAGATCTCTAATTTTTGAATGAAAATTTGCAGCTCACAGCAACTACAGATGGAAAAATAACTCAGATTTTAAGTGGCTTTTCCTGCAAAGAACAGAGAAACCACCAGTCAAGAGCTGCTAGAGATCTGGAAGTATCTTGCTCAAAGCCCCATGCTGCCCAGCTACCTGAGAACCAATCACATAATTGTTGGCAGGCAGAATTGTCATTGATAACTAGTCATTTGTTCACAGACCAATCATCTACGTGTTGCTGGCTGAATCAATATTTACACAGTCCCCTCAGCTCTGACTCATCAGCAAACTACACTTCAGTAGATGCTTCATAATTGTTTACCTGTAGCTACAGCCTAATTATAATAGACAGTAAGTATTGTTAAGTTCAGAGACGTGAACCGGTAGCTATGTGAGTGTGCTTGCAATAAGTATCAGGTTACTCTCAAAGCGCACAGCAACCTTTGATTTCAAAATTGTACTTTTCTT